CGATATTAAGTTTTACCGTTTACTTTTATTCTTTATACTTTTGTAAGAGCTGTGTTGAGAGATTTGAAGTTTGTTGCGGTCGCATCCTTGGGAGCCATCTACCTGAGGGAGCCCCCGTTACAGTAACTTGAACGATACTTCTCTTGATGTAAGGTGATAGTTCTCAGGCCTGTGCCTACATGATCCCGATAGTCCAGTCCTACGACTACTATCCTGTTCACGCCTATCTCCTTATTCTTCTCCTTAGTCCTTGATTAGGACTTAATTTCTCCTTGTGGGAGGAAAGACAATTCTTGGGTTTCTTAAGATAAATCTTAAAGAGCGTAAAGGTAGGTTTTATTGATAATAACTTGAAGGTAGGAAATAAACAAGAAGAACGTGTGAAGAGCTCATACTCAGGGTCCTAGTGACCCCTTTATATAGTAGCTCTTCACCTGGCGTGACTCATACCTCTCGTCACATGAACCCTGTGACTTATAACCATGAGTCATGTGAAATTTATCAGACGACTCCTATGAGTTGCTGCGCAACATGCCTAAAACCAATCAAAACATAATAACCAAGTCAGGTGCGCAACTTGCGTCACTTGAGTGAAACCCATGACTCATAAGTATGAGTCATGTGTGAAAATTATAACATCATATGACTCACAACTGTGAGTCACGAACAGGTAAACATAATAACCTATGGCGCACTAATGTGCGTCATATGAAATCCCAACATACCTATCACTTGGAAGTCTGAGCTATGTGAAATCTGCCTTGCTTAGTCACAGTTTGTGACAGCTGGCCCCATCATGGCATTTCGCCAGGGTCCTACTATGGGTCTAACAGCAGATACATTCATTTGCAGACACCTGCAGAGGTACTTGCGGGTTTTCTGATCTATTCTTTTCTTTGTTCAGATGATGCTGAAGGGTTTTCTTTCCTCTCCTGCCTTCCCTGCGGAGGACGATTGTTCCTGTACCCGGTAGGATGTGTGGTTAGGCCCATATGTCATGGCCACCCAACTATGGAGACGGAATATGCATGGGTTCTTCGTTGCATATATTGGTTGTGGTTTTCTTGGTTGTATGGCTGGGTTTCCTTAGTATGAACGATTGGGATGTGTTGCCGCGCAACGGAAGATAGTGGAACCAGATAGAGGAATCGCGGCTGCGCGCGACGCCGAGGACTTTCTTTTGCATTAGTGATCATGGAGGATTTCCTTAGTATATAAAGGGGTGTGCCCCTTTATATTTTACTTTCTTTACGCAATCTGTTAATCTCCTTTGGACACCTGTACCTAGGAATTACACCCTCTACTCTCTGGCGTCCTCTTGAACCCCTGAACCCTGACCCTGAACCCCTGAACCCCAAACCTCATACAAATCGCTTCGGTTGTACCCCCACACCTAGACCTCGTCTCCAGATCCCTGCCTGTCCTGATCGTGGTATGCCTTGGGCTACCTGACCCTCAGACCCTGTCCGTTACACCATACCAAAGAGTCTTGGGGGGATTGTTTTGGTCCCTAGGGCATGGGAGAATATGCTTGGAATTAAGGTTTTGTTTTTACCATAGCTAGAGCTCCATGCAGGTTCTTGTATCTTAACAAAGAATAT